CGCGCGCTCTCCAAGGATCTCTACGACATGCCTGTGACTTGTGCGGCAATCACGAATGCTTCAAGTCCAAGACCTGGCCGACGCACCCCACAAGATTACTCATCACAAGCACAACAGCAATGCGCTCAATCGCACTCAAGGCTTGCAAATCAAAACGCCACCATCTCGCTCTCCAATCGCTTCTCGCACCAAAAAGTTCAAAAGTGGACAGAAGCGCTTGCATTGCTTTGTATTGTGTGGAAGAAGGCCCGCGACGATGGGTAAGTGGATTTGAGGCATGTTGCAGTAAAGTGAGGTTGTGGAAAGAGGAGATGATCCATCCATCCCGCCTCTGCGCTCTAGAACAGAATAGAAGGCTTCGAGATCGCGATCAAGTCTGAGAACGAGCCCAGGTGGGTGAAAGTGGAGGTGAAGATTGAGGAAAGCGAGATGAACCAATGGCGCATCTGCAGCCAAGACCATCGGATCGCGACAGGGGATAGGAGGCGGCATGATAGTGATACAATCTCGATGAGCGCTCTAAGGTGTTGCATAGGTGTGAGGGACCACCTCTTGCGCGCGAGCTGCACCGTGCCAGAATGGGCTCCGCGCGCGTGCGAGGAGATCGGGATTCGCACCGAGATGAGGAGCAGACAAAAGCAAGCAAGGCACGCAGCAAGGATATGAGAATGTGTTTGGTCAAAGACGCCTGGTGTGTTGAGTGGAATGCTATGAGACTTGACTTTGAATGATTCAGAGACTTGATGTCGGCCTTGTTGGAGAATGTGCAGAAGAAACGCTGGTATGATGGTGCAGATTGGCGCTCTGATGTTAAGAGATGTGAAGCAGATGATAGACGACTAATGCGGTGAGGTGCTAGATTTACCGAGAGCGAGCGTGCACGGGCGCCTGATTAGGCCCCGCACACGTTGACATCCTGTTGCACCAAAGCAGGACGCGATGGTGCGGCGGAGGAGTGCACAAAGACCGGTTGAGCCGGAGGAGGAATGGCGTGCGAATGGTGCTGGAAAGCCTTATGGTTGTTCTCCTTGCCTTGCGCGTCTTGTGTCGAGTGCTCTTTGCTGGGAGCCGAAAGCCGCTCTTGGGCACCGGCTGCGATCAATGGATCGTGCAAAGAATTGAGGGAGAGTGGCGTGACTGGCATGTCGTCGTCATCGTCGTCTTCATCATCAACCTCATTGCCGCCACGAATAGGTGTGTGCGACATGCACGACGGCGATGCAGAGCAAGAGCGCATAGACACGTCGTCATCTTCATCTTCGACCATCGCAGAGGACATGCCAGCAGAGGTTTCACGGCGAGGGGTGCCCAGGTTGCGTACACCCCCGCTGCTGAGGTTGCAGGGCGATGCTTTTGTCGAAGATGTCACGACTTCGCTGGCCAAACCATCGCTCAACAAGCGTTCCTGCTTGACGATGTTGGTGTAGTACTTGATGACGACGGCAGAAGCACCGAAGTTGTGTGCATGACCGTGCTTCCTGACGAGAATCTGGCTGAGAGCAGAGTAGTTGGCACGCAGATAGCAGTCGAGAAGCTGAGCTGCCGCCGCTGCCTCCTCAGCATCTTGAAGAGCGCGCGGCTCTTGACCGCAGATGTAGCGAGCAAGCATGACGGCGCCGCCAGAAAGCAGCGATGGTAGCACACCGAGGAATTCGCGAGGGTAGAGCGACAATTCCATAAAGAAACGGGCTACGCTTTGCACGGTGGGATCCTCGCGTGTTGTCAAGCACGAGGCTCGAAGCCACGCTTCCGGAGAGGGGAAGCCGAGCGTCCATCCGATTGCCTGCAAGACGTGTCCCTCCATCTGAGTGAAGGCCGACTCGTCATATGCGCTGCCGCACATCTGGCTGAGCTCCTCTACGCGAGGTACGCGGTCTTTGGCGTCTTCGAACTTGGAAGCGATGAGAAGTGCGGCGCAACCGACCAGCTGGTAGTGACGTTTGTAGACGATTCGAGTGGAAACGTAGCGGTCCACGATGTTCATCGTAAGATAGAGCGTCTCGGCGCGAAGTCGGAAAGTTTGGTGGATCTCGATGATGAAGTCGACGAGGTATGGGCGCATGTACCATCGAAGCTCGGGTTGAGCGTCCATCAAGTCGACGTTGGGCAAGGTTGCCAGCTAGAAGGGAGGAGCCGTGATGATGAGCAAGATGTTGGGGGACCGTAACGATTGCTACGCTCGACTCACCTCCATGTGATGCATGTGTTTGAGAGCCTCGTCGTAGTACTCCATATCGTTGACAATGGGCCTTGCCTCAGCTTTGAACGCTTCTGCACCAAGCTTTGCCGCTGAAGTTGACGCTTTGCTGGCAGACGAAGCAGCGCGCTTGGCGGCGGTAGATGCCGCAGAAGCAACCGCATTGTATTGATGAGCTTGAGTGCGGGGCGAGGCCCGGTGCGATGAGGCGGAGGACTTCGCCTTTGCCGCTTGTCCTTTTGCTGCACTCGAAGAGCTCGTCATGCTGGTCGCGCTAGACGCCAATCCAGAGTCGAGACTCGAAGAGCTCGAAGAACCGCTGGAGTCGGTGCGTCGGTGTCGATCATAGAAGGAGCTGCGCCGAGACACCATCGATGAGGTGGAAGGTGCGGCCGGCATATCGACTGATGGTGCGAGCACGAAATGCGGCGGTAGGTTGGTGCAGATCCGTAGGGTGCAACGAGCGTGAGGTTTGAAGTGGCGTGAAGAAGAAGGGAGCAGAAATGAAGGTCGAGGTGAGAAATCCAATTGGAAAGAAGAGATGAGTAAGTCGATGGCGATGTCGATGTCGAGTGAAGTAAGAAGCGTGGGGAGTGACGGGGGGAAACGAGGTGATAGAGATGAGAAGGTGGCAAAGGGCGCTTCGGTCAGCAAGGGCATAGTCTTATGTACGATCGAGGCGAAGTGTGTGCAGACCAACAAACAGAGGAGCCGGCCACGCGGATCGCGATTCGACGACCGTTGAGGGCCGTTGGCGATGAATCTCGTGTATGCGCTTGCGCTTGTAGCAACGGATCGCCCGGCGGTCTGAACACTCTCGCGGCACGCATGACGCCGCCAGTCGACATGTACTCACCTGGCACAATGTACCGGTAGAAGGGTCCAACCTTGCAGCTGTATAGTAGATCCAACGGTCGCGCAATGTGCAAGCGGATAAGAGTGATCTGTGCAAGTCTTGCTCTGCTGCGTGGTCGTGCAGGCGAAAGGGTTGGTTGGAATGGCCAGAGGCATGACGTGTAAAGCCACGAACAGCCACGAGAGGGGCAAAGGAGGCACGGGCATGTGGCCAGCGTGGGTGGTTGAGGTGCACCGATGGATGGCATGAGTGCAGAGGGTGTCACGTTGGGCGTAGCGAGCGTGGCGGCGCATTCGATGATGATCGGCGATGCATAACGGTCATCGAAGGATTGATACGCACAGGCAGAGAGGGGAGAGAGGGTGTGCAGTCGCGAGTGAAAGGGAATGAGCCGGAATCGGAAAAGGCAAAGGATGGTGCAAGCGAGCAAGCGCAAGGAGGTCAGCTACGTGGTGCGAGCGTCTAGCGAGGCACCTCACACCGCTGCCAGGGAGCGCCGCCATGGGCTCTTTGCGTGGTCGAGACGCCGTGCGGGGAATGCGGACTCCGAACGATGACGCCCAGATCGCTACCCGTGCCCTGCTGTCGGCGTACGACACTCACAGTGAAGAGGTGCAAGACTCAATGCGCGAGTTAAAAGTCGCAGGGAATCGACACGTCAGGTGCCAACGGGCACGACGTACACGTCGCTCCTAGTCGCAGTGCCCGGCGGGTGGCAGTAGAGCGGTATGGCAAGCGGCAAGACATTGACGATTGGGCGATCAATCATCGGTGCACGGTGCGAGCCAGCACAGGTCGAGGGGCAAGGACGTGCAGATGATGTAATGTGAATCGTCGTGACAGCCATCATGAACGCCGCACAATCAGCAAGGAGGCAAAGTGGCGAGCGTAGCGTCGACCAGTCAAGTGGTACAGCGATGGTCGAGGGTGGGGGCGTGTGCCGCATGGTTGCGGTCAGGAGACGCGGCGAGGATCGAGTCGCGGCGGCGCGCAGGCAGTGAGATGGCACAGGCGTCGTTCGATGGTCGTATTGGTGGTGACGAGGCCGAAGCAAGGGGTCGAATGCGAAGGGAGCAAAAAGGAAAGAGGCTGCGGTGAGATAGAGCTCGAGTTGGTATCCAGGGGAAGGGCGTTCGTTGGCTGGCGCTGACTAGTGAGTCTGAGTGCAAGTCCCAAACGCGCGTCCCCTCACGCATTCGCGACCAGCCCGCACCCGTGTGCAGCAGCTGTGCGGGCGCGGGCGCGCGCCTCTTCGCCAGCCGAATGCGTATGAATTGGATCGAGTGACATGCTCCACGTGAGTGCAAGACGACGCGTGCATTCATGCAGGGTACGCGTCGGTGGCGCATGCCGCCCGTCGTGCCTGACTCGAAAGCTCCCAAATGGTCAAATGGTCAAGAACACTGGCCCAGCGCCATCAAAGCTGCAGCTGGACGCAAGCGGCCCGTGCATGCGGCGCGCATGGCAAAGATCAACACTGCAGCAGATCTTCTCGCGCGAGCGCTGAGTTCTGGATCGGCCGGTAGAAGCGGCGAGCAGGCAAGCCACGCGGGCTAGCGGCGGAGAGGTGTACGATCGGTCAAGTACCCGAAGCGTACTCCCTCGCATCGCTCGCTTCGCAGACCAGTCGAAAGTGAATGCGCGGCGCGACGTCCCATGGGAACTCGTGTCTCTGCCATGGTGTAGACCACGAGGATGCGTTGGAGCCGATATAGGCTTGGGATTGACCACCGATCCGAGAGCATCGAGCTGCACTGCTGCGATACGTCCTCTGCAACGATGTCCTCCTAGCACACTTGACCACCATCACCTCCCCAAGCAAGACAACCTTGAAGTAACGCTTGCTCGGTCGGGAGGAGACCATACACACTCGCTCCCTTCGGCCGGCCAGCGTATACGATAGCGATGCAAAGGCTCGGTCGGCATTGCAGTGTGTCGCCTGGCCGACACTTTGCATGGAACGCTTTTCTATGCCCGACCTCTGACCCCATCAGAAGCCGAATTTGGAGCACGATCAACTCACCTGAAGAAGTTGATGTAGGAGCAAAGCCTGATTGGTGAGGAGTCGCTCAAACGAGGTGTCGTCGAGGTTGCTGTTAGAAGCTAGTTCCAGCCTAGCACCGTGAGTCTCTGTTCGTGAAGCGTTGACGCGGAGGTGCAGTTCTGCGGGCGAAGAGCGAACGGCTTCAAGTGCTGCTGTATCTCGAGGATGAGGATGGCGAGGAGGAGGCTTCACTAGGCGTCAACGTTGAGCTGCGCGAGGTAGTATGGTGAGATGCCGAGGGTCAGATGAGTTGGAGGTGAATGGTCGGGGCAAGAGTGGTTGCGAGAAGAGCAGGATCGTCGGGATGTCGATGAGCCATGTATAGAAAGCTGAATCGGGTGTCGCGTCGCGTGATATGTTGTGGAAAGCAGCTCTGTCGATCCCTGCTCCCAAAGCAAAGTGGTTGCATGTCGTGGCGTGAGCTGATACAGTGATGCAACGAGGGACAAGGGTCTCTCTTGAGCGGGTCGTGCCTCTGCCGTTGCTGGCAAGTAGGGATCGGCGCTGAAAGTCACTGTGAAGAGTTCCCGGAAGCACCGCACAGCGGATGAGATGACGAGGCGAAATGCCCGCCGAAAGGTGTCAATCGTGACCAATCTGGCCCGCTGCCATGCACTCACGAATGGCGGCGGGCTGGGTTTGTGACAGAGCGGGAAGAGTTTCAGTGTAAGGCACAGTGGAGCGGTCTGCTACGGCAAGCACACACCAAACACGCATCCTGCGGTGCTCTTTCCATTTGGCTGTGCGTCTGCCAGCATCCGAGCTAGTCCCGTCTAAATGATACATTCACGCAGATTGCGGAGGGTGACGACTTCCAAAGGCTCAAACAGCAGTTGCTGCTTCTGCGTCCTGGCAGCCAAGCAAGAGGTGTGCGGGCTGCGACCCGCTGCGTGTGATACTCACGACTATCACATCGACTCGTGTGGCTCCAAACCGGTAATTCGGCACTGATTGACGCAGGAATGCCTGTCTCACCTCACGCGGTCTGGTCTTCCTAGCCTAGCTGCCCCGCGCTTGCTATATGCGCACGGGCATTGGCACTGCGTAACGAAGCAGAAGAGGGGGAGAGCGACATGGCATCGCATCGCCTACGGCTTCATTGGACCCTTGGTCGTACTACTACTGTACTGTACAATCTGCCTGCAAAATTCTTGCGGCAGACAGCACGAGAGCAGCTCTTGACATCTATCTGCAAGCGATCGCCAGCTGTTGATGGATGCGAATTGGATTCGCAGAAGCAATGCGAGGCGGGCGCTACAGTGTGAGTACACAGGTGGCTGGCTGCATGTACAGTCACGAGTCGTGAGTAAGCCGGAGCACACTCTTCCTTCTTGTCACGCGGCTTCAAATAACACGCATATGCTCGCGCCGGCCGACGTCCGGGTCTGCTGGCGCGTTGATGCTGCTGTTGAGCGCGTTTGAGGCGCCTGCAAGTGGCGAGCTGCAGCGCCAGCATCATCAGCATCATCCATCATCAGCAAGATGCAGACCATTTGCAAATTCAAGGGTCTGCCGCATCGACGCACAGCAGCCTGCTGCTGAGAGCGCCGAGTGGTGGCAAGCCTTGGCGGAGATGACGATGCGGCAAGGTGGCGGCGTACTCAAAACTTGAGACAGCTCCCCATCAGCTAGTCATACTTTTACAACCCCAATGCTTGCCATGGGCCAAGGAGACAGGTGCCGCCGCAGGAGGTGGTCCGAAAGGCTTTGAGACTACGAATTGTCAGCTGGCTCATCACAGCATGAGCCTGAAGGGGACGAAGCCTTCCATGTCCACAGGCGGCAGCAAGCGAGTCAAGAGTGCGAGGTCAGCCTTGAGCTCTACTGTACCGTAGAGGTCGCAGCCGCGGGAGCCGTGCGTGTGTGTGTATGCGCGCATGGCGTTTTAGAGCTTGTCGATCCTCGGCGCCCAGCACGGCCGGCGTAGACCAGCGAGCGTGAGCTACTCATACGGGTGCATCACGAATTGATGTAATTTGCTTCGTTCCAAGTCGTCATAAATTTGAAAGAGGACATCACCGATGCAGCACAGCAGAGACATATATTATCACCATTTGGTCTGAGGTGGCATCTCACATGGTCACGATTTCGAGTGGCGATGAGATACGTGCTGAAGCGCAGCATGGCAACCGCGATATTGCAAAGACCGGCATTTGAGTCAGTCTCAATGAGCCAAGTTGATGTGGATTGGTGCTACATTCAAGCTCAAGTTCGAGACGGGGATGGCTCGGGTACTTTCTGAAGAGAAAAAGTCTGCTCTGCTGCCAATAATACCTTGACTCGTCTTGACTCGCCTTTTCGCGCAGAACTGCTGCGTTAGCTGCTTTGCGACCGCATGGATGTGTGCGCCATTTTCGCGTGCGGGAAGGGTCTGACGCGGAACCAGCCCAGTGCAGCGGCACGCTACGCGTTCCTCTGGCTTGCGTTAGCGCCGGAGCAAGAATTGGCTTGTTTGCTCTATTTTCACCATGCACACCTTTTGAACTCACTGAAGGCGAGGCCCGAGCGGAATGGATTTGCAATGTTTCCCGAGCTTTTAGGCTCGCCTCGCCGACTTGGGCGGGGAGGGAGGGAGTCCGCGCCCGCGTGAAAGCGACCGTATCATCAGCTACACTCGAGGCGCGCAGAGGTGTATGTTCAGGCACGGTCAGAAATATGCGTTGCGATTCGTGACCACGCGAACAGCCAGCGTCGGCGCCACGCAGCCACGAACGAGGGAATGGGCACGAGCATGAACCGTGAAGGCAATCAAGAATGTCGCAAGCCCCGCGCGATCCGCAAAGCTACGGAATTGAACAGATTGGTGAGCGCTGTTATATATAGCTTTCGAGTAAGACTGCAGCATCAGCAGTCACGAATGCTCGTGTGACACCCCTCGCAATTAACAGCTTGTATGCAAGTTGAATATATGTGAGTCAAATGTAGGCCGCGAATATGTGTATAGAGCGTTCTCTGGCGGCGAGACTGGCGCGTCGCTAGTCTCATAGTCTCAGCTGTGCAAGTCTCAAGATCGAGGCTCTCGGGCAGCGACAAGCACACACTGAAGAGTCATATACGCGCGTCTGCGCCTATAGCTCTCTCAAGCACTCAGAAATTGGTTCGGCGCGGATTCAGCAGCGAGCAGGTATTTGGCCCGCGCGTGATGCGTCACACTGTGATGGAAACGAAGGTGGTGTGTACAGCAGTACCGCATATCACTCTCGGCACCGCCAAGGTCGGCATACGAGAATTCTCTGAACCCCGACAGGTAACGCCATGCGATTATAAGCATCAGCTGCCGTCAGCCATACCTGACCGTCAGTGCACAACTCAGTGCGGAGCGACGCTAAACGAATGAATCCAATCCAATCCAATCCAACAGCAGCAAACGTGAGGTTTGATTTCGCGATTCTGAAGCCCATATTCGACGATTGTACAGCATGTGCGTGGCATGGCTGCCACTCTGTCAGCTTCGAGTCGATCTACCCGACCGTTTGATGGCTCAAAGATCACCATGAGCACATGATGCGCTTGCAAGTAGTGGTGGCGCGTCGGGGGTCGCCTGCGGTGTAGACAATGGGGACTGGCAGACTGAAGTAAGTAGTCGGGTATCGAGGTCTGAGCTATTGGCAGCAATCTGGAGTCAATTTCGTGGGCGAGAGGATCTGGCTCGTGGTCTCTCGCTCGCTCGAGTCGCCAAGCATTTGCATCGTGTGGCAGCCGCTTCTGGCTTGGTATGATGCGGTACACTGGGCCTCACGTTCCGTCGGGGAGCGTCGCCCGATCGTCAGCTCTCGGGGTGAGTGACCAATAATGCACGTATGTATGTGTTTGCAAGCCCGTGGCGGTGCTATGAGCGGGATAGACGGGAGCGTATTCCGTACGGCATGCATCGCGCGTGGTGTGAGTATATCCTGAAGCACCCTTGTGGCTCGGCTATTTGTTCAAGCTGTCTCACAACTCGCCCCTAAGAGTGAGAGGCAGAATGAGAAACTTGCTCACTTCCATCAATTCCGCTGATCTCTTTGACGAGAGCGGCACCACGACGATCACGAAGCTCCCAGGTGTGCACCATTGACTTCGATGGTCATGTGCGGTCCACCACCCGCAGTTATCGAGAAGCTGCGCGACCATGCAAATTCATGGATGGACTCGCGCTGGGGATGATGCGACTTCGCTTACTACATTCTTGACTCATGAGACTCACGACGGTGACTGTCGCTGCGACTCGTCACTGACCCTGCCTGCAAGCCGAGGTGGCTGACTTCGCGTGGTCAGCTGCCGTTATGCGCGTCAAGTCACGTGAGCGAGGGACTGAAACGGTCTTCGACCCCTCGATTCGGGCCTGCTGCAGGTGTGTGATGTATGCGCGACCCATGATGGCTAGCTCCACTTTTCCGCGCGTCCCAAACCCCCTCTTTCCCGTCACCCGCATGTTTTTTCTTTTTATTCAAAATTCTTGATTCTGTGTCTGTAGTGTCTGTGTTGCTTCTCACGTGACTTGTTCGCGCGTGTTGCGCGTACTTCCCCGACGAAAGATTTTGATTTGATTCCCATCGTGACGGTACTCGCCCGCCCACCTCTGTCTGCCGACTATACAACGTTGCCGTCAGCCATACCTGACCGTCAGTGCCCAACACACGACTCAATTTTGAGTGCGGAGCGACGCTAAACGAATGAATCCAATTGCCCACATAGCGGTGTCTCAGTGGTCATCGTCTGCAACCACCCTGGATTCGCCTTCAAGAATATTCACGATTGCGAATCGTCGACCTCATGGTCTTGGCGGTCCGATCGTCACACTCTTGCATGCTGCTTGCTATTGAGCCCATTCAGCATGCGAGCCTTGAACCGCATGAGGATCTCTCCTGCGCTCACACCGTTCGCTCACAACCCGTAAGCGTGAGCCCAGTTCAGTCACGAGTGGGTGCGTGCACTAGTCTGGTAAATGTACTGCGTGCAGCTTGGCAAGGCTCGACAACGCAATTGTGCTCCTCGACGAACGAATGGAAGGGTGATGGATGCAGTGTCAATCGCCCGTGCCTGCATAGCATGCACTCTTTTGTAGTCCGTCGATCGGCGCTGCAAGACGCTGCACATACACCTACATACATCACACATACACCTACATCACACATACATCTCAGCAAAGCCCGAGGTGGCGAGTTGCGCGAATGTCCCAGAACAGCGATTCACATTGTCAACAACGAGCACCGAGTCAATTTGAGTGAGTAGCGAAGCGCTGCGATACGCACACGTGACACAACCTCATCTCGTCTCATCCTACCGCATCTTCTCGTCTCTGACGAGCTTCAATTGCTTTTACTTGCGCGCGCGCGCGCGTGTTTGCAAAAGCATGAAAAGGCATACTAAGACAGGGAGCAGCGTGGGGGCCGCGGAGAAAATCCGACGAGGAGAGGGAGCGCGGAATAGAGTCATCCGACTTGGCGAAATGGTGAGACTGACCGGAGCGCAGCGGCAAATTTTTGAAAAGCAGAAGGCCAGGTCAATCAAAGCTTGACGAAAGCGATCCGAGGTGTGTGCGCTACCGACGCTTGCATGCTTGGAGCAAGACTGAATGTAGGGATTGGATTTGTGAATCCATCGTGGCAGCAGCAGCAGCCGGCCAGCGATGCGCGCAACGAGACGCAAGGTGCGCAAGAGGCAGTCTATTTTACACGCGGCAACAGGCATGACCGGGCCATAGCGCGGGAATTAGCGGGACCTTTAAGTGCGGGGACACGATGACCGACAAGCATTATAGAGAGAGAGAGAGAGAGAGAGAGAGAGAGAGAGA